AGCTAGAACTACCTGAACATACTTGTTTTACTAGTGCTTAAATAGATAAAGCTATTTAAATTACATTTGATTTGTTGAAACTCAAGAGGACGTCTCCAATGCACTTTACTGAACAGTAATTATCTGAAGCTCAGACTGACTTATCAGAGGTATGGTGTTTCCGGTGATGGGCAGCAGGTCGTTCATGATGAGCAGGAACACCGTGTAGCCGAAGATGATGGTCATCTTGAAGGAGGACCTGTCTGTGCTCTCAGGAGGCAGCAAGAAGCTGAAGAGGTCCAACGTAATGAGGAAGCAGCTGGGGAGCAGCAGGGTCACTACGTACATGATGGAGCTGCGCTTCACTCGGATCTGAAGAGAGATCATAATCAGGGTTCATCCAGGGTAGATACTTCTGCACAGCTTAAAGATTTCAATACAGTTAACAGACCTTTTTTTACATGCTAAAAACTTACGTAAAATGCAAGCATGTATCGGTAAACACCCGACTCGTTATTTTTCTCTATTTTCTGTGCAGTGATGTCCACCAGTGACCATTCACCCATGGTGGTCATTACTTCCTTAGAGTATCTGGTCATTAATTCTGTGTCTCGTCCAAGAATAATTTTAAGCTCAATCGCTGGGAACAAACAACACAAACAACCAAGATCAGTGAAAACCCACAAGAGAAACAATATAATTTAAATATAAAATGATTTGGACCGTGTGAACGTAGAATGAAATAGGACAGCATTATTGGAAATAATTACTCGATGAAATTTTGGTTAAATTTGTTATCACAACCACAAAGTTCTGTGTAACTGCGTGGGATTTTATTTGATAGACCAAAAGTGAATAGTGCATTCATTCTGTGCATCATACATTGCTGCAAAGATGACTTTGCATGACTTTCTTTCACCAATAATTTTCTCCTTGAGACATGACAGCCCTAACAAACTTGTCATGGTTGGTTTACTTCTACTCCAATCTCTTGATTTATTTAGATGATGGACAGAACAATAGTCCAACATCTTTTGCTGTTGTTGCTTGGTTCAGATAATGCGAAGAGGTCTCCCTCTACAAATCAGGCCTCCATCTTGTTTTTAACATCAGACCTGAAGGAATGAAAATCTTTAACAACTGCTAAAATTGAACTTTTTCACTTCTAATATTATAAAAACAAAGGAATAAACACTAAACGTAATTTTCCACTACGCAATTTGCATGTCCATCATTATTAGGGGGGAGGAAATATCAGACTAAAAAGGCTAAATAAAAATACTTTTCAGATTTTTATTAGCTAGGAAAATGAAAACCTTTCATGTCACTTGATAATTATGTTAATTTTGGTGGTCTATAATTGTTAAAGTCTTCTGTGCAGTGACAGCTTGCTGTGAACTTATAGCTAACATCCATAATAACAGACTATGAAATTTTGTAAATGAAAAAAACGCATTTTCATTTTTTTTTGTTGGAGTGACTCACCATCGTAGATGTAGGAGTTGAAAGTTAGGGAACAGTTCTGTATGTCGAAGGGAAAGGCATAGATGTCGAGATTACAGGAGCTCACAACTCTGAATGGAAAAGAGTCGTGTACCCTACCATCGCTGAACAGGTATACGTATAGAACAGACGGTGCTTTGTTTTCCTCCATGCTAAAAGAGCAAAGCATGAGAATATGAAAAATAATTACAATTTTCATAAAAGGCAATAATTCTGACAGATTTAAGCTTTTCTGTGGGTAAATATTGCTCAAAACATGTCATATTTCATTAAAAAGATAGGTATTTCAGTAAGTTTATATTATTGTGCATTCCCAATAGCACAGAGTGAGTAAACACATGCAGTCATACAAATACATTTGGAAAGTCATCTACGTTTTCAAAGAGATGTCTTCCAAGTGTATTGATTATTAAAAATCAACTCACAACTCATTGATGACAATATCTGGAAGCCAGATCTTCTCTTTGGGAACTGAAATGTTGTTCATGCCACACTGAACTGGGTCCCACCTGCTAAACTCATTTGCCCACCACTGCAAGAAGAAGAAAAAAGTGATGATAGTACGCAGAGTGGCTCATGAAATCTTTGTCACAAATAAAATGAGTAAGTATATCGAATCTACGATTATAAAAATCAAGCTGGTTGATTATGATATTGTTCTGCTTACAAAGTGCATCCAAAGGTAAGTGATGAGGACTTGAGACTTTTCATCCTGAAAGACAAAACATTACATTGTTGAAATAGAACTTTTTCTTATTGTGCATCTTTGAAAATAAACACCAAAATTAAGACTTCACTAAAATTAAATGAGACATTGATGAGTAAATATGCTATATTGCAGGATGCAATCATTATAAAATTATTTTGATTCTAACTTGGAGCCTGACATTTTTTTCAAACAAAATGAGTCGTTCGTACATATTTTATATAAGAAATAATATGTAGGCTAATAATAACGTGACACTGAACATACCACTCCTAATATTCCGTACAGAGTGAAGTACATAGTGATGGTTGTTTGTGTGGTTTGGTTCATTACGGGTCGGATGGCCGCCAGGTCAAAGACAGGGCTCAGAGCTGCCAGCAGGCTCGGTTGGTCTGGTTTGGAGCAGTTGACCTTAAATGAGCTGCACAAAGCTGATGAGGACAATATACAGGCAAGTGAGGCCACATTTGTAGGCTGTGTTATAGTCAACACAACTGTCCACAAACAGAACATTTAAACATGCATATCTTCAATTTTTCCAAAGGGAGAATACATCTGAAAGTACCACTACTAATTTTGGATTGTCTCAGAAACTAAACTGCTTTCAAAAAAAAAAAAAAAGAAAAATGATACTTGTCATTAAAAGACCCACCTGGCATCATGAGAACAAGAAAAACCAGAGCAGTTGATGGGAAAACCCACTAAAAAAGAGAAAAAAAAATTAATAGAGAATTGAAGCAGCATTCAGCTTCTATGCACCACAAATCTGGAATAACCTTCCAGAAAACTGCAAAACAGCCTAGATTCCTTTAACTCTAGACTAAAAACTCACGTGTTTTGAGTTGCTTTTGAAACCAAATCATGAAACATTAATCAATAATCTAATGTGCAAAATGTAATGTTGACTGTGTGTTCCATGAATTTGTAATTTTGTATTTTATGTATTTCAGTTTGAAATGCCTTGTTGCTTTCAGAGGTGCTATACAGATCAAATTTGCTTAATTAACTGATTGATTGTGGTTTACTATTTGAGAGTAAATCAATGTAGTTATTTTCTGACAAATTGTGATAACCAGATTGTGCAGGAGGAGAAGATGCTTTACCTTAAGTGTAGATTCCTTTGACGCCATGACGCCGAGAGTAAAAGTTGAATTTTAGTAGCTGTAAGGCAGATGAAGCTTCTTCTCCTCTTACCTGTCTTGGAATAGGAAAACAAATTGAAACATCATGTAAAACCAGAGTAGGGGATGGTCATCTATACAAATAATGTTGGACAGACCAAACTCAAGGACGAGCAGCTCATTTCCTCGAAGTTTTTTCATGCGACGCAAACAAAAACCACAGTTAACATGATGCCCCTTGGTTTTCAACTCGCATGACATGAAGACTGACCACGGTGTTGTCAGATACCAGCGCTGTTGGTTACAGGCAAATAAACAGCGACAGAATGTGAGAAGTGTCTGGTTTCTGGCCAAACATGCAAGCTTTCTGCACCTTTTCATTAATTTAACAAACATCTTGCACATTATGTCACATATCAATCATCTATCCATACTTAGATGTGATTCAGTAGTTTTGTTCTTTAATAAATATTCAAAATATGATGCCTTCGAGTGGTGCTTTCCATTGTAAGGGTCAGGACTTCTATGGGTTGTGAGGTCTCAAGTGCTTAGATGTAACAGCAAAGAGGCAAAGCTAACAGCTGCCATTCAGCTAACTACCTTCCACTGGAAAGATCATTATTTTTCCAATTCGTCAGCCTTTGTCTAAGGCAGTTTCTTTCTGATATATCAGTTTTTCTAATGCAAAAAGATAAAAAAAAAAGAAAAGATTTTATAAGGAAGCATCTGCTTTATAAGGAAGCAGAACCATCTTCTTCCTTATAAAGGAAGCAGAGAGAGAGAAAATGTGTCTAGGTCATTCTACAAATTCCTAGCTTGCATCCCTCACAAAAAAAGCAAGTGATATCAAGATACCTTAGGTTTACAATTGCAACCTGCAAACTAAGTGGAAAAAGAAGAAGAAGCTGTTTTGGAACTATTGATGTTATCTATGCCACTTGAAAACAAGTAGACTATTTTTTTACTTTTGCATCAAATTCAAATGGCCAGCATCAGCACATATGAAAATAAATGTGAATGTTTAGAACGAGGATTACGGATGCCTTTCCCCCGGGCCTCATAAACTAGTGGTGGGGGGAAGCCTGATGGAGCCGTGAGAACGAGGGTGGAGAAGGCGCGTAGGAGTCGGAGTTAAAACTTGAGTGGTTACAATGAGGCGTGGTCCCATGCTGATGGACTGACTGCACGTGAGGTGCATGATGCAGAGATTGCAAAATGCTGGTGAGGCTGGAAAGAACAATAGATCTTCAAATGCCAAAAGATAATAGAGCCTTTAACATTATTTGGGACCCTGATAGCTTTGCCTCAAAAAGCTTTCTGTTAAAATGTTTATGTATTTTTTTTTTTAAAGTTGAAATAAATACACATTTTATATATAATTAAGATAACAAGGGACTTGCACCAAAGGCTTATATTTACCTAAAATTCTGCACACATTTTATTGACAAAAGTTAAAGTGACTGTTTCGTTTTTGAAATCAGCATTTTTTTATTTGCATGTTTCACCACATTAACAATAATTCAGAAAAAAATACCAATTTGCATTACATATTTTCTAAAATTGTTTACTTTTTACAACAGTATATAGAAATCAAATGTTTAAAATTTGGTTTTAGTGTTCATCTTGGCAAAAACTTTTGTTCTTATGTTTATTTATTCTTCAGTTAACCACATTAACAAGTCACTGACACATATCTTTACACAAAATGTTTTAATATATCATGTATAGTAATATTTAAATATATTGAGAATACATATTCATTTTTCATATGAATTTGTTTTTAATATAAGCATTTTAAATCAATGCTAAACAGACACTTTCAAAAGCAAGAGAGAGAGAGAATGTGTTTATGTCATTGTTTTGTACAAATTCCTAGCCTGCATCCCTCACAATGACCAGGCTCATGGGGACTCTTCACATCAAAGCTTCTGGGTATCTTGTTATGTTCTCCAAGGTTTTCTTGGTAGCACTTAATTCTTATTTTCATCATCAGGTTCTCCATGAGGACTTGAATGTTGTCAGACTCCACGCTTGGTTTCACCATCTGTGCATTGAGACATCTCTTGCAGTTTTGGCGCAAAGGCCTCACCTTGACTGTGCCTTGGCCATTCACAAGGCGCATGTGGAAAACCACCATGACTCGGTTTGAAGGCCAACTTCTCCTGCATGAGGTACAGCTGAATCTTTAAGAAAAAAAAAGACACTTCGATAAGAAGTCTATAATTCTGCGGCCAGATGAGTATGCTGTCCCTCCTGACATGTATATATACATGAAACAGAGCCATTTGTTTGGATTTTGAAAGTAGAAAGCTGTGTCACTTTTAACAGGAGGCTACAACTGTTGCTGTGCTATGTTGATTTACAAGGCATGTAATTGTGTTATTTTTAAATTGTAAATCTATTTTTATCTTCCTCAGTGACCACTATCTGATTTCACTGGATCAACAAATTCAAATTCTGAGTGAAAATTCTAAAATGAATTTTAGTCAGTGAGATTTTATAGGAGAGTAAATTACTTATGCCAACCAATAAGTTTTACTTTGTAAAACATCTTTGAAAACTGTAATTAATTTTTGTAATTCATCATACAAATGATGAATTTTTGAGGTAAAAAGTATTTTCTAATGCAAAATACTTTCAACATGCAAGTAATGCATGAACATTTAGATAGAGAAATAATACACATTTTTGTTAATACAAAATTTAGCAGAAGAAATGAATCAACAGTACAGTTCTAACCTTGCACTTGTTTTCCTGAAGTACTTTTTCCAGCCCATGTTTGGATTTTCAGGATCAATATTTTCATCAAACTCCAAATGCCATGAGTGTTCTTTTCGGTTAAGTGTTTCAATTTCAATCTGAAAGATGCGAATCCATTCCTGTTGTTCCATCTTTATCTTTTAAAAGAAGACGTTGGTTCCAGTGAGAGCTGGAACAGCTGATCTGTACAGTCAACAAACAGCTTGTGAATGTGACTCATTATTGTCCAGAGGCACTCACGAAAACGAAACTTAACACTGCGTTAGGCTTCAGTTTCTACTTATTCAGAATTAGAATTACTGAAAAGTCCATGCAGAAACGAAACTGAAAGGTGATACAACTGGGAGAAACACTTCCACCTGCTGGTCAAAGTCATAACAACATGTATTAGAATTCTAACATGCAGTTGGAAACCAACACACCACAACATACTCACAGCTGTAGTTTCAGAAAAACAGTGAATGAATAAGCATGCCGCACATTGTAGCCTTTATCTTTCACTTCACAGTTGTGCAACTTTATGTTGGTATATTATACAACCTTAAAAGAGTGGTGCAAGGTATATGTTTAGTGAATACACAAAATCAAAGAGCATAATTTCTTTTGAAGGTAACAACTGATAATTGATGATTTTTTATTTACAGTTATGTGATTTTAACCAGACTGGAGTAGTGCTTACTGATTCCACAGAAAAGCGGAGGCCAAAAACTTGACCACAAATTCAACTTAAAAAAAAAATACCCTCAAGCCTGCCAGCTGTGTTTTCTTTTTTAATTTCTATGACGCTGGTACGGGCTCTTATTTTGAAACCGGAAATGGGCGTCCATCGTCACTATAGCAACGGATACAATCTTGTAAGTTAGCGTGTGAACAAATTCATCTGTTTTTTTAATATTTGTGGCCCTATTTCTCAGCCAGACATGGTGGAGGAATCAGATACATACCACATCCGACCTAACCATCGGCTCAAGTAAGTTTGCTGAAGTAATTTCATGTTGTTGTTTTTTTCTTTTTGAAATATCAAGCGTTGCTAGCGAGATTTTGGCTAACGACAGCGTTTCGAAGTCGGACCATTAATAAACCTTTCTTGTACAAAGTTTACCTTACTATAACCTTGTTGCGCTAGTTTGAGATAACACTTGCAAGCGACAGTGCTTACAATTTTGTAAATAAAAATCTATCTATCTATCTATCTATCTATCTATCTATCTATCTATCTATCTATCTATCTATCTATCTATCTATCTATCTATCTATCTATCTATCTATCTATCTATCTATCTATCTATCTATCTATCTATCTATACACACACACAGTTATTTGAGTAAATTGATGTTTACGCACTGTTAAGCAAGCAGCTTATTACAGCAGAGGTAATAGTTAAACAACTGGGTCATTTTGAAGGACGTTGTAAATTAATACTGGTCCTGCTCGCTGAATCAAAGTATTTGACAAGCTTTTTGTCTTTGCTTGCAATTAGTTCTGTGTATGAAAAATAGTTTAGAGTTGTTCACTGTGTCACCATGAATGAGAGTTGAACTAAGTTGATGAATTCACAATCACATCAAACACAACAATATTATGATATTACTTGGGGCAAATAGAATAGTTATCTGTTGGACAATAGGTGAAAATAGATGCTCCTGTTTGACCTCTGTTGAGACTGAAGTTTATTTTCTTGTGTTTCTTTGAATTGTTAAATTTTCAGGTTTAAACCAGCCATCGTAAAGGGATACATTCGTAATATTATAAGGGAGCATCTTTCTGACGTGCAGTACGACCCAGAGACTGCGGCAGAGCTGACCCGCTCACTGGCAGAGAGCGTGAAGGACAAAGTGAAGAGTGAGTTCTGCATTGTCCTCCTTTGGGTTTTACAATGAGCACGCTGTGAAAAATGCAATGGTCAGACCAATTTCCTAACCAGTAGTGATTGACATATCACTTAAACCACAACTTGAGTTGATATTTTCTTAAAATGTTTTTAACTTCAGCAAGATGTGACATTTCTGCAGTATCAACACACAACAAGAGAAATAAAATGTAAACCAAATATTCTGCTCATGCTTTCAATTTATTTAACTGAGAGAAGAGAACAGGAGATACAAATAACTTAAATCAGAATGGATATACTAGCTTACTTTTTGTGGCCTACAACTTACAACAGCGGCAACAGATCTATCATGACAAAGAAAAATAATCATGTAACATTGTAAAATTTCTCTGCATATTATAAATGTAATGCAAGCTCTGACATACTTTATTTTTATTTAATTTATGGCTTGTACTTTGTAAACTACTAAAATAAACCTTGTTTTGTTTTGTGCACAGCTGCAGAATTTGACAGATACAAGATTGTTGTGCAGGTGCTCATCGGAGAACAACGAGGACAAGGAGTAAAGTAAGTTATATCCATCACTCATAAACAAAAACAGACTGAGTTTGTTAAAAACCATGAAGTCATTTTAGAAAGCACTTAATTCTAAAAAGAAAAACATTAGGAAGGAATGGAATAAAGTACAATGCTGAACAAACACAACAGTGTGTTACTACAAAGTGCCTGTCATCAACTTTGAATCTATAACAGAGCAATGGAGCGAGAATGGTAAAAGTTTATGGTAAAAGACATTTATTGTATATTTCTATATCTTTGTTCCTTCATTTAATCAATCAATCAATCAAATTTTATTTGTATAGCACATTTCAACAGCAAGGCATTCAGAAATCTGTGTTAGGGAGACAAGAAGAAATATATTTTAAAAGAAAGTAATCAGAAAGTCCAGTTCACAGTTTGGTGTTAGTCATGTAGGTGATAGAATGAACATGTGGAAGAAGGTTCCCTGCAGATGGCAACAAAATAAAATGTTTTAGCCTACATGTAGAACACCATTTTTGCAGAAAATGAACACTTCCTGAATCTGCCTGAATATGCAAGTGCTGCTGTAAAGGTGGTGGCAGTATCATGCTGTGGCAGTATCATGCTGTGGCAGTAGTGCTCTTCAGGTGGGAGAAGGAAACAGGCTGAGTTAATGACAGGGCTGTTTTGAAAAAATCGGAGATAAAAGCTGTAATTGGAGCAAAATTGGATTCTACAAGTAAAGACTCAAGGTGGCTGAAAATGAATGCATGCCACACTTTTCAGAATATTATTATTTAAAAACATTTAATATCAATGAGGCCTTTTACAAAAGAACTGATTTTGTGGCTGTCGTTTAAAAGTTCCAGGGTATCTAAGTAAACGTCGGTACATACAGTCGGTACATACAGTAAGAAGGGAAGGGAAATCTTTAAGTGACAGTCAGCATCTTACTTTAGCATCTCGTCAGAATTTATAACAAGGAGCTCTTGCTTTTCAAAGAGTATTTTCTCATAATTTACTATCAGGACAGAATGACAGTTTTACTAAATGTGTAAAAACATACAAGCTACCTTTGCTGCTTTGAATGTACATTCCTTTCTGACATATTTTATTTCAGGATGTGTGCTAGGTGTTTGTGGGACGCAGACACGGACAACTATGCAGAAGACGTTTTCATGAATGTAAGCACTCCATCAGATTTAATCAACACAATAAAGTTTTATTTGAGAATGTTTCTTTTTTTTTTAAACAGTGTGTTTCCATCCAATAGGACAGCTTGTTCTGTGTGGTGACAGTTTTCGGAAGCTATTATTACTGAAGACTTGAAGCATGGATGACAGCAAATCCTTATATATAGAGATAAGAAATGAACATTTGTGAGATGGCACACTGCCAGCTCTTCAGCTTCTGCAGAGTGGAAATATGTCATTTCTGTCTCCTTTAGACGTATGATTCTCACACAGCCTGTGTAGGACCTTTGATGATGTAGTGATAATGTAATGAATGCCCTCAATATAATTTCCTGACTTGAGAAGATAGATATTGATGACAGAAGCTGTTTGAACAGCTAATTCTGGATTGCACCTAATGATGTTCCAGTCTGGACTCACAGGTGTTGAAAAGATTGTGTCAGCTCAGCTGGGCAAAATAACTTTCCAAAATTAATTTTATTTTAAAAGATAATTTAATAAAAATAAATTATCTTAATCGACACATGCTATTGTTTATCCTTTGTAGCAGCTGTATCAGAAAGTGTCAGCATCATAACAGAAATGATTATCAACTTTTATAATTATAGAACTAGTCTACACAAATCTAAATACTTGGACATATATGGATTGCATCACAATTATTACCACTTTTCTTTTATTCTGCATTCTACAAATTCTCGTACTTCACACTTATGCTTTAACTTAGTTTTTTGTGAATATTCAAATGTCCAAATGTTTAGAGCTACACAGACAGCTTCTATAATGAGTTAAAGAAACTGCTCATATTTGGAAAATAATACTATCATCAAATTTATGCTGAAAAATAATAGCCTTGTAAAGAAGTTAATAATGAAAAATGAAACTATATCCTTGCATGCTGCTGACTAAACAGACAAGGCAAAACACATGGGACTTAAATTTTTTATGACAGAAAAGAGTTTTTTATTCCCACAAAATGACTCATTCCTGCGAGATACAACATGTGAGGTGTCTCAATTTTCCTCTAAATTAATCCAATAAAATTCAACATCTACTTTTTTTCAACTGTTTCATATCCTCAACTTCCACTTAAACCTGATACTTTACAGATAGTTACTGTCAAATTGAGTGCCTGGTGCAAGTTCTACTGAAGATTTGCTTAATGTGGAAATTACAAAATACTCTCCTATTGTAATCATTTGTTAAAATGAAAATAGGCGTTTTGTATTTTGTTGTCTTCTCGTTCCCAGTGAAGCTTTAAATGAATTGTCTCTTAGTTAATATTTTAAAAATCCAACTCGCTGGCTGTCTTCCTGTCTTCTTTATCTCTGCACAATCTGTTTTCTCTTGGCTTTGAGAAAAGCAGTGTTTGTCACTGATACCTTATCTTATCTGCTGATGTAAGACTGCTCCAGAATGAAAGATGTCTGCTGCAGCAAAAACATCACTGTAACTCATAGTGGTTCATGGGTAAGTAGGATTGTAGAAATGTTCTTCTCCTCTACTTATATTACTTCTATCTTTCAGGAGACTGCATAATGTAAACTGCTCTGGTCTAGGAGAATTCCCAGTAATCTGCTATCAGCCATTTAATATGTTTACACTAAATGCATAATCTCCCATTTAAATATGAGCAAACCACATCAGCACACAAGGATGTTTTCTTGGTCAGGCTAAGGTAGGAGCAGATCAAATCAGCAGTTTCAAAATTAGAAACTCGAGCAAATAGTTTTGTCGATATATCCCGGGGTTATGTTTATTCAGCAGATTTGTTGTTTACTGCTGTGCTTCAGCCCACTGTCATAATGCATGTACAGTTAACTTGGTGTTATTGAATCTTGGGGTCTTTGATTTTATTCCAGGATAAATTGCTGTTGAGTGATTCTCAATTTCCTAGTTTCTAGATATTCTTCACTGTTATTCTTTCAATGCTTTATGTGTCTTTAGTTGTAATATTTCTTTTAGTGTTTAAAAGAAATACTGTAAAATAAATATTTATACAGTATTTCTTTCTGTCTGTTCAAACAATGTTTTCATTTTAAGTTTTTACCTGTGCAGCAGCTCTTCACAATGGTCTTTGGTTGATCTTTGAAGGCAGACAACTTTCCAATGAAAATATCCAGCCACACTTAACTGTCCTGCCTTCAGCCTCGTCATTTAAAGCTCTAACTGAGACCTGCAGACTCTGAGGTGATGGATAATATTTTTGCGGCATGATATGGATTGACCTGTAGATGAACTATGTCTTCTGTGGTCTCTTGAGCAAATTACGTCCCAAACATTTCTGCTTGTGAATAATCTATTTTATAATAGAAAGGTAATTTTCAAATAGTTTTAGAATTACCTTATAAACCTTTTTAAATAGAGGAGGAGCAATTTTGGTTTTGTCAGTAATTTCAGGTGGTGCTGTCATTATTTTATCACACACCTGAAGACTCCAGAGCAGTAACTGGCTAAATGTTTAGTTTTCATATTTGTTCTCCTATGTTTCTACTTGTCCCAGGTTACTTAAGCCCAGTTCACAGGTTTCACTCGGAGGCATTCTAATTCCAGCTACGAAGTCCCTCCAAATTAAAATTCTGCGCTGCCACACCTGAATTTAGAGTGAACAAACTAACATGGACATCGACGTTGAAGGGGTAACTTTAGTTTGCGGACTTATGTTAACCCAAAAAAGACGTAACCAAAAACCAAAGCTTTGGATTAAGAACTGGAGACACTGCGAGCAAGGATTATATTTGTTGCATCGCAACATGGAGGTGAGGTTTTTTTCTTTTTTTCATAAAAAATACTGTTTTTAATGTTTTCGGTTTGGTCGTTTAATTAACCGTTACCGTTTAAGTATAATTTTTCGCTGTGTTTATGTTGTTGTAGAATATATGCATATGACGGAATGACTGAAACATCAGAGCAGCTTGAAGTAGAAGAAAGCATTTCCTGCATATTCGTTATTAGAAAATCGGATGGCAGTTATTCTTTTTTCCCCAACTGACCGCGAAAGCTTAACGTATTCCAGCTCCTTTCATTTAAACTTATTGTATTGTTTAAAATTGTATTATGACTGCAGAATAAAATCAAATGCACCATTTCATGGTTGGTTGTGCGCATGCGCGGGGCCGGGGCGGATGTGGGTTTGGACAACTTCCGGTGGCTATAGCGTTAGCATTAAATGGCTAGGAAAATGTCTCGGTCTCAGCGCAGTTGTTTTTGTTCAGTCCCTGGTTGTTCATGTGGGGCAAGAAAACAACCTTATCTGTCATATCATGCGTTCCCTACGGACCCGGACCAACGGAGGCAGTGGATCCAGGCGATCCGAAGAGATGAAGATCCGGACTTTTGCATAAGGACGGGGAGCACTTTTGTATGTAGCCACCACTTCAGACCGGAGGATTTTGTTAGCGGATCCACCACCAGCCGCCTTAAAAGTGGAGCTGTTCCTTCCCTGTTTGCCTGGAATAACTTCACTGCACCGGCAATGAGAGAGTCTGCTTTCGAGAGGACTAAGAAACGGCAGTTTGTCCTCTCAGAAAGCTAACCAGGCTGAAGATGCTACTGCGGACCATGATTATATGGCACATCCACCCGCAGGTAAAAGATATAACTGTTGCTATAATAATAATATTATTATTATGGTCACATAATAATGAAATTATGAGATTATGTGGTTATGTATATTGTGGAGAGATTAAGTCAATGGCTGTATACATACATGCTCTGACTCACGGAGCATGTATATTGATCTTCACAGAAGTAATGTTTCAAATATATAATTAAAACTTATTGCTAACCGTATGTTTTCCTATTTTATTTTGTGGTTTTACAGGTGCACTTGATGAAGCTCTGGATTATATCAAGGAGTTGGAGGCCAGACTTCAAAAAGTGGATCTGTCTGCCACACTTTTTAGCCACTACTGTGCCTCTGATGACCAGATCTGGTTCTACACCAAATTTCCATCTGAATGTGTGTTCAGTTCTTCTGGGAGTCCATTGTTCCCTCTGCATCACGCCTGGTGTACTGGACCAGAGCACAGAAACTTGGAGAGGAAGCATGTGCTGAGAACGTTCTAAGATTGTCGTAAGGGCAAAATCTGGCCCGACAATCGTGTAGTGTGAACTGGGCATTAGTGAAGTGCAGTTATTTTGCAGAACCAACGTTTTCCATATTTCCTGAAACATTTTGAGAGCTTTAAGAATACACTGCATCTGCATCTTGGATTATTTTCAGTCAATATGTCCAATGCTGTTGTTCATAAGGACTTCATTTAGCTTTTGGTTATGACATCATTCTATATTTGTTTATAAATTACACTGAGGAGCTGACATTTTTACACCAAACTATACTTTGTGTGCTTTGCATATAAATAGATGATATGATCAATAATTAAAACATTATTATTTCAGTAATAAAATCAGAAAGTGAAGCTAATACTATCCAATTAAGTATTTCATAACAGATGCTTAAAGCTCATAAAAATGCAAAAAATAGTCAGAACAATAAAGTATGATCAATAAAAAGTTATTGTTGCTGCTCATGCATCTTTATCCACATCCCTGTTTCCTTCCACTTAATTGCTCTTGCATTCATTACTCTGAACAGCCATCATATTTTACCATCAACCTTTTGAGGCTTACCTTCATAGCTGGACTGATTTCAAGTCAGAATATAAACTTTGTGACATATTCACGAACTAAAAATGGGTCAATCCAGCAAAAATTTATGTCCTTTGCTGAAAGCCATAATTATCATAACGAACAGAAATAACAGCGAAGAATATATCAGTCTATCAAAGTGGAACACATTTTAAATGAAATTAATGATTAAATTAAATCTGATACTCCAAATTATTGAGATGTTCAATTTTAAAGTGAAATATATCATTCTATGATAATTGAAAAACGTATTTATTCTCGCTGCTTGACTCTGAGCTAGTACAACAATTTCCTGCAGGGTAATTAAAGCAAAGTCTCCCATGGTTTTTTTCTCCCTGAACTCATACAAAAGCCTATTCAATTGCTATTACGGCAGTTACTATGGAAATTAAGTACTGTAATAAAAAAAATCTTAAGTTTACCTTTAAGGAAGTAATATTTATATTAAATAATGTGAGAAAGCTGATAAGCACGCTGTTATGTAGTCAATTTAATTAGTTGCTCTACACTCATCTGTAAAACATGCCAAGTCAAATGCTCTCTGTCTCTCTCTTTCTCTATATATATCTATAGACATATAGATATATATACATCTATATATATAGATCTATGTATATAGATGTATATTCCTTGAACTTCAGTAACCTATATGTGGATCAAAGTCCAGCAGTTTGTCAACTTTCTTTTCCTAATTTGTTCAGGAAACAGACTAATCTTAAATTAGTTGTTGAGTACCTTTCAGACATTTCTGTTTTTGTGTTTATGCATGAACTTCTCCGCCTGACTTCAGAAAAGTGCCCCCTCGGAAAATCTAGCAGCATTTAAGAATGAAGTGTAACGAGACAGTAGAAGGGAGCAAGTGAGTCAATTAGGCAAATTACCTATATGCTCATTACATATACACATTGACTGAGGAGGACCTTTCAAGTTTATTTCTGGTTTCAGAAAGTTGGCTGAAAGGTGATTTTTCTTCTATAGGTATTGTTGGAGATGTATAGAAACTAAATAAAAGCATTGATAATATTCTTTTGCAGAAAATTGTTTTGATGTTGTAATACTGTACTGATTGCTTGATAACAGTGGGACTAATTTCCTTATGACACCCTGAGATGACAACTACGACATGAGCATACTTTTCTTTGGTGCAGTCATGGAGACAAGCAAAATAAATGAAGCTGAAATAATTTCTTCCTGATCTAAAAAGCCTCACCAAGCATCAAAACAGCTCAGTGAACTGAGGTGTAATAAATCCAGGGTCATTGCAGGAGACCTAAATGAAGAAAATTATATGAGGGGGGCTATGATCACTAACAAGTAGAAATGAAGTCCAATATCTAATCTGTTAAGTACTTTTTTATGTGGAAATATAAATGCAGATGATGCATAGTACAGACATAAATATTTCAAAGCTGTTTTTAGTTTAATCAAAATATCAATGCAAAAAACTACAATTGAAAATTAAATTAATTTTGTTATTTGTAATTATTCTTTTTCTTTTGTAAAAGAAAAGAGGAAAACATTCCCCATTAAAACTGTCTAAATATTGAGAATTAAATATATATATTGTTGAAAAATTAAAATGAAGACTAAATATATATAAAAACAGTATTCTCTTTGTAAATGGTAAAAACAATAACAAACATTGAGATGATAAATATAAATAAAAATAGTCGTGAAACTCTATAGACCACATTGATGTAAGCCCAATGAATTCTGTCATCTGTCAATAAAAAGAAAAAAAAAAACAAAAAAAACTCTTGTATGTATTTTTAATTCCTAAGTCCTTTTAGAAATTTGTTGTTGAGTCTCAAAAACAACTCTTTACATTTTAAGCAGGGGTTTTGATGTGTTTCCTTGTGAATACATGATTACAGATGCTGACATTTGGGTCCTGCTCCACTTGGGTCTGTTATTATTGCAACAGCTGCCTCTGTCATATTCTGCTCAATCTTTCCTTTTTAAGTTTCTCTGAAGCAACATTACCGTATGCCTGCGCCGACAGATGCACCTAAAAATTGGAATAATCTGATATGCAGCTATTAATAGAAAAATGCTTTTATCTGTGTAAAGCTTTGATATTATATTCTTTTTTCCCCAAATGTTTAGACCTAAAGTAGTATTCAATTTACACTAGAGCTTTATAGTTATAAACTCAAATGGGCTCTCTTTCAAATTTGTAAAGCTGTATTTTTGCGTAATGCTTGTGTTTCATGCAGTAGATGAGGAAAGTAATCAGCCTGTTTCTGTGAGTTCCTTGACTTGTGTGTTACATGTGTTGTTTTGGGCCCATTTAGTTTAAATTAATCTAGAACTCCAAAAATTGCACATGACCTGCTATTCATACAATTAGTCACTGACACAAACATCTACATGCTATCCTCAATAAAAATATTATTTATTTCTGCTTGAATAATATATAAGACATGGATGTCCCATAGATGTTTTCTGCTGCTGAAAGCCAAAAGGAGAGCCATTTAGAAACATTACACTGCACATGTTTGGAGAATGAAAACGTGCAGGTGCAAGATAAAAATCAAGAGGAAATCATAGTTTTGCTTTTCTTTTGCCTTTTATTATTGGCTTTACTCGAAGCAGTTTCAAGGCATTGCAATTCTTATCTAACAAGAATGTTGACATTATTTTTTTTACTATTTAATACTATTAGGCACAATGCCAATATGAAAACAAAAAATGTTAAATGCAAGCGCCTGTCACTTGCAATATGAGATGCTATCAATAATAATAAAAAAGTTAGTTTGCCTTTTTTTTTCCTTTTTGCTATTTGAAGTTAACAATAACACTACAAATGTCCCTGTTTATCATATCATTTATCATATCATATGCTAGAAGTTCCCATAAAATTTTGTATTGATTATGAAAAAACAAAATGACCACAAAAAACAAACAATTTTTGTATTTCATAAAAATATCTATGGGACTCACTCATTCTCATGTGATGTAATGAATCCTGCTGTCACTATAAATTAATCTCTAATTATAATTATAAATTAACTATAATTGTTGAACTGTATGATTCACAATCCCTAAAGTGGTGCCATAATTGCCAAGCTGGCCATTAATAGATAGCTGTCAGTGTAATTAGAGAAAATGGCTGGTTGCAGTGTGTGTGTTCTTTGAGCGTGCTGTTCCCTTTGTTCTATAGGATTTCATAGAATGGTAATTGGCCCTTTAAAAGTGATTTCTGTGCCTTTGTTATCTGATATTGACAACCTTGGGTCTGTAGCTACTCTTTGTTCATCAGCAATCACCCTATGTGACAACAAGTCTCGCTGGATCCTTTGAGAAAGTCAATTATTTGATGTTTAGTGTCGCATTTCGTGTGTTATTAGTACTTGTGAAACGTGGTCACTCTTCACATCATCACAAACTGTTGGATTCAGATTTCAGATCCTCAAGTGATTGAGCGCTTGTGAT